GCCAGTCTAGTCATTACTGTACATCTTTGCAAAACGAGTTTATCTATCACTTTTACCTGTGTTTATAAATATTACATGAAATAATTGCGTATTGGCCTAGATTTGAGACAAAGTACGCTCCACACGAAAGGAAGCGCGTTTTATTTGAACCCTTGACAAGGATAATATCATAATAATGACTATACTCGGGGCGGACATCCGTGCATTTTCACCGCCTGGTAACCATCACTGTGAAAACAAAGGCTGAAAACTTTCAGAAAACGGTACTTTGGGATGGTTGTTGAGACTCCCCTGAACAGTGTAACAAGTTACTGTTTTCTCTAATTTTCACCGGCTCTTCGCTCGGTGTTCCTCAGCAGCGCGCGCAGAACCCGTAGAAATACGTGGTACAGTGGTGCGCGTCTTAGCGACGTGGAATGTCTTAAGACGTAGCTCCGCCCCCGAGTATATAAATCGTCGTAATGCACGTCAACATTACGATATTGTACAAACGCACGTCACAATCATGGGACTGTTACACAATGGATACATCTATACATACTGATAGGTAGCGATACGTTGGATTAGTCATGCGTATCTATTATAGAATGATGTCTGTACACGCAGAACAGTCGCAACATATATTGTGCATATTTGATTTATGTTTGTTTCTCAGAACGATTAATGATGACACAGACAAGTTGGAACGTTATTTTTGTTATATACTCTGCTTTTGTTTGTAACTTAGGTAAGTTGATGAATACAACTTCTACAATCACCATTTTCCAATTATCAGCACAGATGATTAGACATTGTTGTTGTTCACACCAACTTACTTAATGTAAACAGTATCTACGCAATGTATATGTTTGGCAAATCTTGAGCATTTACTTGAGATTATTGAAAACCCCGTCAACCGTACTTCCGTTTTGACACCACGCTCGTTTGTGACCTCAAAGTGACGTATATGGGTGTAATTAATGGCGTGTGTCACAGTGTAAGGCCTGCTTATCACAATTGAGAGGGCCGCCCACAAAACTCACACTGGACAGGGTTTTTTTCACCGCTAGAATGGGGTAGACAAGACAATAGTACTGGAAATGATATACACATACACCAACATATCGAGTTAAAGCTCCTGGCTTTAATACCTCTCAAAATAATTACAAGAAATAAAGCACAGAAAAATACAATGAATAAAGTCACTAAAATAGGGGATTGCTTAGGGAAGTGTGCATTGGTGATAACTCACAGTTCCAGGATGTATTAAAGAGGAGCAGAGGTGTGGCTTTTGTCACTCTGTACATGACATTTGAGATCTATGGATGAATTCTGTCAATAAAAACAACGTGTATGTGCTGCGAAATGCCCCAAATATCTGGTATAAAACGGGCTGTGAAGCAGACGACAAACTTCCGCTTTGCCTGGCGTCATTTCGCCTCTAGAGGGCCAGTCAATGATGTCATCAGTGAACACTGATAATTGAACCCATTCATTCTAGTACGTCAATCCCATAGAAATGCTAACTATGAAAGGCCTTGTTAACTGACAACTCAAAAGTTGTAACATGGCGAGGTGTTGTGTTATGAATGCCATAACGATTCATGTTAAGTTTCTCGAAATCCCAAATAAAAAATCATGTTGTTAGTTGCGAGAAATCGGCAGAAGAACTATCCTGAAA